TTAACCTTGTGAACTTCCGCTATATATTCAAGATGGACAGTATTTAATATTTATTTGTTATATATATGTAGGGGGGGTGGGTCTATACATATGTTATATATAGTATGTTTAGGTGTGTGCCATGTATGTGTTTCACTTTTGAGAGCGGGCAACTAAATTTCATTTTTGATGTGTGCCGTTGTGCCCACAGTAAAAAAAATGACAATAAAGGTTATTTTATCTATCTTTTCTTATACTGATCCCATCCTTCCTACTGGGACTCCCTCCGGCTGTAGTGACGGACTACATGTCCCATCACTTCAAGCTGGAAAGCGCAAAGACCCCACTCGGATACCGTCTGGAGCCTTGATTCCTTGCTCAGACTAGCCTAGCAAGGCTCCTCGGACTACAAACTCCGCCAAATAATAATAATAATAATAATAATAATAATAATGATGATGATGATGATGATGATGATGATGATGATGATGATGATGATAAAGTTGGAAGGGACCTTGGAGGTCATCTAGTCCAACCCCCTGCTCAGGCAGGAAACCCTACACCATTTCGGACAAATGGCTGTCCAGTCTCTTCTTAAAAACTTCCAGTGTTGGAGCATTCACCACTTCTAGAGGCAGGTAGTTCCACTGGTGAATTGTTCTAACTGTCAGGAAGTTTCTCCTTAGTTCTAGGTTGCTTCTCTCTTTGGTTAGCCCAGTTAGGTCCCCGGCTAGAACCATGGGGTTTGTAGTCCTAAGCCTTTGAGTCTAACGCAGTGTTTCTCAACCTTGACAATTTTAAGGCATGTGGACTTCGACTCCCAGAATTCCACAGCCAGCAATGCTGGCTGTGGAATTCTGGGAGTCGAAGTCCACCTGCCTTAAAATTGTCAAGGTTGAGAAACACTGGTCTAACGGGCAGTGGGGAGAGAGAGAGAGACAGAGAGACAGAGAGGATGGCTTCACCATGGAAACGGGCGGGGAGGAGAGAGGGTTACCCGGGCAACGAGAAGCCCTCGCGAGAGCTTTGTTGTTTTTTTTCCCTCCTTCCCTCAGGAGCCGCTCGAGGCGTGAGCGCGCGGAAACGCGCGAGCCGCCCGGCCAATGAGACGGCGAGGGCGCGGCCACGTGACGCGGCGCGCGGGGTCTGCGAACCGGAGCGCTCCAGCCGAGGTGCGTGAGGGGAAGCTGGCGGGAGGCCGCCCGGCTTGAGGCTCTCCCGGGGCGGCCTGGGCCCTTTTTGTTTTTTTGCCCCGCACCCGAGTAGAAAGTCGGGAGGCCGATATCTCCGGGTCCCGTCATGCCGGGAAGGGGGAACCCGCCGGGGGCCCTCAGAATATGGGGGGGGCACGGATGGCGGAGGGAGGGAGGGGGTTGTTTTTTCACCCAGGCCGCTGAGGGTCTCCTGTGGGACTTGACCCTGGTGACCCTCTGAGACGATTTGGGGTGTTTTTTGTGTTTTTTTAAAAAATATGAACATGCATTTTTGTTTTATAAATTGCTCAGGCCTTTGGGGGGGGGGGGGAAGGGGCTGCAGACCTGTTGATAATCTGAAAGGAAAGCGAATACCTGAGCGAGCCAGCAGGCCTTCCCCGCTTAGAAGAAGATATTTGTAAATCGGGGTTGAAAGGAGAGGCCCTTGGTGCCCTCTGAGCTGGGTGGGTTTCTGGCAGATGTTTCATGACCCAGCTAGGTTACATCATCAGTGCTAGGAGGGAGGGTGGTATGTGGAGAGGAGGAGGAAGAAGAGGAGAACTGTGGGATCCTTAGTGCTCTCTGAGCTTGGTGGTTTTCTTGCAAATGTTTCATGACCCAGCTAGGTAACATCATCAGGGCTAGAAGGGAGGGAGATTTTCAGAGTGAAGAAATCAGAATGGGAGGAGGAGGAGGAGGAGGACTGTGGGGTCCTTGGTGCTCTCTGAGCTTGGTGGTTTTCTTGCAGATGTTTCATGACCCAACTAGGTAACATCATCAGTGCTAGAAGGGAGTGGGGTTTGTGGAGTGGAGGAGGAGGGTGGGAGGAGGAGGGTGGGGGTCTTGGTCCTTTCTGAGCTTGGTGGCTTTCTTGTAAACATTTCAGTACCCAGCTAGGGAACATCATCAGAGTTAGAAGGGAATGGGGTATGTGGAACGGAGGAGAAGAAGAAAGGGAAGAGGAGAAGAAGGGGGGGAGGAGGAGGACTGTGGGGTCCTTGGTGCCCTCTGAGCTTGGTGGTTTTCTTGCAGATGTTTCATGACCCAGCTAGGTAACATCATCACTGCTAGAAGGGAGTGAGGTTTTCAGAGTGAAGAAATCAGAATGGGAGGAGGACTGTGGGGTCCTTGGTGTTCTCTGAGCTTGGTTGTTTCTCTGCAGACGTTTCATGACCCAGCTAGGTAGTGTCATCAGTGCTAGAAGGCAGTGGAGGAGAAGGAGGAAGGGGGGGTGTAGGAGGAAGAAGAAAAGGACTGAGGTCTTTGATGCTCCCTGAGCTTGGTTATTTTCTTGCAGACGTTTCATTACCCCAACTAGGTTACACCATCAGTGCTAAAACGGAGTGGATTTTGCGGAATGGAGGACAACAAGGACTATGCAGATGTTTCATTGCCCAAATAGGGAACCTCTTCAGTGCACTGACGATGGTCGCCAAGAAATCGACCAAGCTCTGAGAGCATCAAGAACCCCACAGTTCCATCCTGAGCTACAAGTAGTAGTAGTAGTAGTAGTAGTAGTAATAATAATAATAATAATAATAATAATAATAATAATAATAATAATAATAATAATAATAATAATAATAATAATAATAACAACAACAACAACAACAACAACAATAATAATAAAGTTGGAAGGGACCTTGGAGGTCATCTAGTCCAACCCCCTGCTCTGTTCTGTCTGTAATGACAGTGAATTTCCCCTATTTCACAAGGGGGAAATTGCAGCAGAGATTTGTTAATGGACATTTTATATCTACAAGTTGTTTTTTTTTTTTAAAAGAGACCCAATGGGGACAATAATATGTCCTCCTGAATATCTAATGGAGGTATTCATAGAGGTATTCATAGAGGACAAAAGCAGGGGGCCTGAGCAGGGGGTTGGACTAGATGACCTCCAAGGTCCCTTCCAATTATTATTATTATTATTATTATTATTAGTAGTAGTAGTAGTAGTAGTAGTAGTAGTAGTAGTAGTAGTAAGTAAGTAAGAAGTAAAGCCGATACCCTGCAGAATGCTTACAAGTGGCTTCTCCCTAAAGGGGAGACTCTGTTTCTTGAATTGTCCAAAAGATAGATCTAAGATAAGTTTACACATCAGGGAATGACTTACAGAAGACAACTTTTTTTAAACTTAAGTTTTCCCTGTGATTAATGATTTTTCTTTAAACTTGTATCCCAACTTTATCAAGGAGTTGAAGATGGCTTACTTAAATATCTCCCTTTATTTCTGTAATTATAGTTTTAATGGAATAGGTTGAGTTGGGTTGGGTCAAAGTCAACCAAAGAGACTGACTGAGAGTGAATTGCAACAGGTTTTCTCTAGTCTTGATCCGACACGTTAATTACAATCTTACATTCACTGGAATTCCTAAATTTATTTAATCAAATTGATACGGCTCCCATCTCACACAAGGTGACTCTGGGCAGTGCACAAGAAAACCAAACCTAATTATTGAATATTAAAAATTAATTAAAGCAATAAAATAACTAATTAAAACCAAGATTGTGAGAGGATTAATTAAGATTTCATATGTAATTATAATTTGGCTGTAACAAATCAAAATATGAAATTTGTCTTCAAGCATTCCATCATTTAT